AACGGCGGGCTCAAGGCGGCAGGAATCCTCCTAGGCCACGACTACGGTCAGAGGTCCAAGGTTGCAAAGCAGATAGAGGAGCTCGCCTTCCGAAAAAACGACACGCAGAAGTCGAAGGGCGCCAAAAAGCCCAAGAAGAAGTAGACACTCCCTCGGCCAGTTCTAAGAGTAGAACTCTTCCAGACTTGTTCAAACGCCAGAGACTCAGCAGTTTAGTTCAGTGATGATGGGACTATCTAATCTTTATCGTATCCCATGCTCGTCGGCCTCTTTGCCTTCTCAGACGACTGGTCGCAGTCGATCAGCGCGGGGTGTGGGACGACCAACATGCTGTGCAACAGGTTCCAAGGGTGGAGCGTGTTCGTGCCTGGGAAGTTGCTCGTCCTTTAGGCCCCGTGCGCCTGCCTCCCTCTTTCTCGGTTCAGCATCTTGAGTGCTCCTGAGTTTGCGAGTTTTGATGGGGAGCGGCCCCCCGACCCCAGAGGGGGCTCGGGTGCCGCTCTCACAGTGCCGCCTCCGCAGAGGCGGGGGCGCGTGGGAGTGGGGCGGAGACCCATCCGCTCGTGTTGCGCGCGCACCCGTCGTGGGCCCATCGTTCGTGATATAGGATCTCGAATGCGCCGATTTCGGTAGTTTTTCATCTAGGCCCCTCACGAAGCGTCCTTCCTGAAGGCTCTTGGGCGCAGTGGTTTTAAAAAAGGACGAAATCAAGAGATGACGCCAGGAGGTCTGTCGACGCGTTTACCATCATGGTCTCCGGATCGGGCCGTATGGTTCGGATAGTTCGGGGTTGGACAGACCTCCTACCCTGACACGTCGATTGAGGAATTGGCCGTTCTCGGTTCGCGAGAGGGCGGCGCGGCCGGCATTTTTGCGGGTCCAGGTCCGTCGGTTTCGGTCCCAGGCCGTTTTCACTAAGGGGAGGTTTATTAAAGGGAGGTTTGTCTACCGCCGAATAGTGGACCCTTGTTTGTGGGGACCACAGCCAGCAAGTCAATGCGGGATTGACCTCCCGCTGTGGTCAGCCGTTGCCTCGAGCTGGCCCTCCTCCGTGCATTGGCCAGCCTCTCACGCCAGGGTTCCCAATCGCGCGCGCACGACGCGCGGCCCCCCACAGGGGTATCCCCGCAACTCCGGCGCTCAGCGCGCACGGTCGCGTCCGGCTTTGCTTCGCGTTTTTGGGGGGAGCGCGCTGCGCACTTCATGGCCCGCGGGGAGCCCTTAACCGCGAAGCCAGTCCAGTCCCCGAAATTTGGGCGTTGCATTATCTTCGCACCAGGCGTTTTCGCCCAGTTTCGAGGCCCAGGCCCTCACGTATAGTATAGAAATGCCGCAGCAAGATCGGGTCTAGGGCTCTGAGCGTGATTCTTTACGATGTTGCAATTTGTTTCGCAGCCTCGGATCTCAGGGGCAGGGACGGTCGCATCTGCGCTCTTATTGCCGGACCGTTCCATCTACTTCGTGGCTCAGCGGCCGCCGACAACTTGCATCGCGAGCGTGCACGGCATAAATCGCCCCGCCCCCGTGATTCAGCAGGGCTTCCTCGCAAACTCGCGCCTCGCAGGGAACTCCCACTGAGAAGCCGCAGGGCACGCCCGCATTCGCTTGCTTCTCATTTCGGCACCCACACACAGCCAAACACACACACACACACACACACACACAAACACGCCCACTTTTACTACTACGCGGCGCTGGGTTGGAAACCCGTAAAACAAAGCGGGAGACTGCTCAGTCGAATTATCTACCTTGTGTGGAGACGTGCGTCCTGAGTGAAACGGTCCTGAGGTTGTTCCCGCTCCTGGGCTACCGAAGCCCTCCACGGGCCCCAGGACCGTCAAAGAATTGTTCAGGATGAAAAGCCGAAAGCCCCCAGGGTCCAGGACCCGTATCCCTCAGGAGCCACAGAGCAGGGCAACAATTATTTCAGCCCTTGCATCCCTGCTTCTTCGGCCCGTCCCAAGCAAGTTCTGACGACCAAGGAGCCCCAAACAAAACCTCCAAGGGTCCTGCATCCTTGCTTTGCACCCGCCCTGTGAATCTTGACTGTTCGTCTGTTCGTAGGTACTTGCCACCCCCCCACTTCGGCGCACCCCGCCCCCCGCGTACTCAGTGGCCGCTACTTCTCCTCGCGGAGGGTGAGACGCTCTGCAAACAAACATGTCAGGCTTAAAATGGCGCATGCGCTTCAGCCGCGCACCAGTCTTGCAGGGAGGCCCCGACTGCACCATTTGATGGTAGACGTGTGCGGGTTCTTGGCCTGAGCCGCGTCGATCTACACACTACGTACATGCTTCGTCAAATCATGAAAAGCACATTTAGAGGTTGATCCGCTCCCTGGGCCGTAAAGTTGATGGGGTTGATATCCTCGCTTGGCCGAACGTGTCACGATTCGCAGCTTTTTCAAAGACGGCCGCCCAGGAAGCTGCAGGGCACCCCTCGACATGCGAACCTCCTCATCCGCTGATTTCCCGCCACCAGGTGGATGGAAGTCGATTGAGCTGCCTGGGCCGATTGCAAATTTACCATCCCTCTACAACGCCCCCCATAATACGAACGTTCCTGATTTTGCAGTTGGCATTTTGGGTCCCAGAAGCCTGGGACTCCCCAGGACCCACTACGGCAATTTTGGGATGTAGCAAGGTTCTGGTCGTTTCCAGAAGTGAAGTCTGGGGCTCACTGGGACCAACGTTAGTAATTCAGAAGTGCGGATCCTGAACTTCAGAAGTTCAGCCAGTGTTACGGAAGTAGCGACCCGCGTTCTCCAGAATTGTGGAACACCGATCCTGGCGCCCGCCATGGGCGGCGAGCAGGAGGGGCCCCTCAAGAAATTGAGGTGGGACTGCAGTCGGCCCTGATTGGTATGCTGTCCATGCCAAAACGAGGGTACCCTTCTGTCCTATCTGTCCCGACCTCCATCGCGTCTACGAAAGTTTTCGCAAATGTTGCTCAGTCATCTTCGTTGCGGTGACGGTGGAGTTTCTGGGGGTCCCTGGTTTGGACCCCCGTCTGGAAAGCGGTTCCGTCTTTTTGTATGCCTTCATTCCCCTTCTCGCCCGAGTGAAATCGGTGTGGTTTTTCTCCCTCCTCCTATCTCGATGCGGTAGCGATTGCGATGTTGGTGACGACGGCGATGGCGGCGCCGTTGCGCCCTCTTCCCATGGTGGATCAGGATCTCCGCGGAAAATAAAACAAGGAAGAAAGTTGTTCCTCGAGCTCATCGTCGCCCGCGGGAAACCAGTTTCACGTATCTGGCGCCTCTGATTTCCTCATCGGCCGAAGGGAGGTCCAGGTTGACCCCATCAGGCTTCCCGAATGAAAAACACTTGATGCACGACCCCGAAGGGGGGTCTTGTGGTCCAACCCGAAGGTCGTCAGGGGGCGCCGAAATTGCTAGGATGCACCCCGTGCATGTTTGTACATCGTGTGGTAGCGGTTTCCGATGAGCGCTCCGATTGAATCTCAAAATGTTCAGGTCGACCAGAGCAAGCCTTCACTGGATTTTCAGGTCTGGCCTGAACAATTTCAGGTCGACCTGAAAATGCCCAGGTGCCCCGCGTGTATGCAATGATCCAGCCTGGTGACGTTTTCAGGTTTTTACACCGCGTGGTGCCATTTGGGCCTGAAAATTTGCAGGTCGACCGGTCGACTTGAACGTATCATCCGTGTGCAAAAAAAACAAAGGATAAAGCGCCCCGGAAGAAAATGTTCAGATCCAACCTGAAACATGTCCAGGTCGACTTGGAAGTGCCGAGGTGCTCCAAATGCATCGAATAATACACCCCGGTGGCATTTTCGGGTTTCTACACTGCTCAGCGATTATAATATTATGCATGGGCCTGAATGGACCTGAAAATCTATCCCCCCTGCGGTTCCGCCCATCTACACTACTGGCGTGTCCGATGACACTGTACGAGGCTCCGTGCGCCCAACGGGGGTTCGCCATTCTGCCATGGCCCGCTCACTCTCGATTCCTCATGCTCATGCTCATGCTCATGCTCTCGCTTGCTCATACTCACGCTCGCTTGCTGTGGCCCACTCCCTCTCGCTTGCTTCCGCGTGCTCATGCTCATGCTCATGCTCATGGCCCACTCGCTCTCGCTTGCTCTTGCCATGGCCCTCAATCTGCAGACGCACATGCTCATGCTTGCATGTTTCGCGAAACGTTTGTAGACAATCAGTATGCAACCCGCATGCCCTCTGGTGTTCTGGGGACACTCTGTCGTCGGAAGAGTCCTGTGCCCTCTCGGCTGCACTGTCCAATCAAGTCGAAATGCGGATCAGTTCAGCAATGCGCAGAGGGGGGTAGGGGGAGGGGGGCAAGCTTCTAAGAAATACCCCTGCTTCTCAGAACTCGCGGGCCTTGTCTACAGATGTAAGGCCAGTGCCTTCTAAGAAGCAGCCTCCTTCTAAGAAGCCTCCTTATAAGAAGCCTTTCCCCTCCCCTTACCCCCTTGTGCGCGCCGCCAGTTAGTTCTGGGCACTCCGGGAAGTGCCTCGCTTCTGACGTCTCACGCCGTCGGCGGGAGCAGGCAGAAGGCCAGCCGGCAACAGACCGGCGGCCGGCCCGCCGGCGGAGGGTCTGCGCAGTGTCGGCGACAGGCGGCGCCGCGAAGCAGGAGTGGCAGATTCTCCTCCAGCGGCCGAGTGTCGGATGTAGCCAGGGCCCCGGGTGAGGGGACCCGTGTGGTGGGTGGGCCCAGGACCCCCCCAGAGATGCCAGAATCGTTGAGCCAGGTCTGCGGTAGTTGGTGTTTCTTCGGGCGGCTGCAGTTCCGGCTAGGGGGATGGGGCGGGGGGGCGTTCCCTGGTACACATCGCTGCACCGGACCCGCTTGACCCGGTCCCACCAACGCCCGAGAGTGGCGTGACGTCATCACAGCGAGAGTATGGATGGGCAGAAAGTACACGTGAAAGTGAGACGTCGGCATTTTGGGATGCAGCCTTCGTGAAGTCGGTCACACAGGGTGGAGCTGGGCCGCGTGCTCTCCGCCCGCCAGGCCATAGGGGGCTCCCTGAAGGCTTCGCCGGAGGTTCTGGAGAAGAGCGCGTCCAAGTGGCTGCGGACGGGCGAGCAGCTGTGCGAGGCGGCTGCGGCTGGAGGAGGACGAGGAGAGGAGGTACGGCAAGAGAGGGGAAGAGGACGCGGGAAGAGGCTGCATAGGCTGTATAGGAGCATGGAGCGTGCTCCCTCGCGCTATGGCGAGACGGCACCGAACTTCGGCGTCGCTGTCGGCGGGATCCCGCGCGATGGCCGTATCACGACCTGCACAGGTGATCCCGATTTGAAAAAAAAACCTGCCCTCGCAGCATCCCGCTACAAAGCAAGGCAGAGGCAACCTCCCGCTGCAAAAGCTGCAATGCCGATCAACTACTGGCTGGTCGGCGCCGCAGCCTCCCCAAGGCCCAGCACTGCCTTGATGGACGTCGCCTGCTCCTGGCAGAGGGTCCTATCATCCAGCAGATCCTGGAGCGGGAAGAGGAGAACGATGAACAGATGAATCGGGAAGGCGCCCTCTCCGTGCGGACCTCCAGCTTCCCACATGAGAGGCCACCAGGGACCCTTGGATTGCTCTGAAGCTCATGAGCAGTCTTTCCAGTCGAAGGATCAATACCGGTGCAGATTAATAGATCGAACCATACGTCGCATCAGCAGATGGCGGCAATGGGATAGAGATGATGATAAGACGGACGAGTTGTTTCCCTCTGAAGTCCATTGCACGCGTCAGATAGTATACAGAATGCATGCTGGTTAGATGCGCGCGGCTGGTAGAGCCGATACGGTTGCGTCTTCGTCCCTGCGCCATACCTTCTTTCAAAGTCGGAGAGGGGTCAAACAGTGGATGATGCACGAGCCAGGGCTCACAGCCGAGACAGTATATACATAAAACGGGTGTGACACAGCTATTTCAATCGAAATCAGAAGCGTCATTCGCTAAACATGGCCAACCACTGCATATGTATACTGAACTGGTCAGTGCAAAGAAAAGGTTTCTAGCCGCAGACCGAGCGCGAAAGTAGCAGTCTCCGGGGGGATCCATGGACTCTTGGGGCCCCTATTTGTGGCATGAAAGAAGGGAGGTGACCGAGGAGCCACCACAAAGTGAAGTGTTGTTGCGAGAAAGGGGCCCTGAGCTCTGTAGTCTTTTTCAGCCTCCCCGCCCCCCTCCCAAATGAGCCATCGGACTGTCAAGGCGCGGTTCGAGATGAAAGCCCAGTGCGCGGGAAAGAGAGAGCCCGTGGTCCTGGGCCCGCTTTCTTCGGGGACCCTCTCCTGAATACCGAAGGGGCAGAGGAGCAGCGAGGCGGCCGAGGAGGGCGAGGAGGCAGTTGTGCAGCCCGAGCGCGCCCAGCGCGATTCCATCAGCACCACTGCAGAGCCAGCTTCGGCACGACGCGAGCGGCAGACGGCATTTCCAGTGTGGCAGCCAAGTGCCAAAAGGGGCGTCGCAGTGTTGACGAAAGCACGCCACTAGCAGAAGGATTCTGGGAAGCAGGATAAGCGCTGTGCCCTTGTCAGCAGATGCTACAGACCCGAGTATTCACGCCAGGATGGCGCTCGCTGAATGCGCTGCAGTAAAATTGTCGCGGACGTCTTCTGTGACTGCGATTTGAATTTAGCAGCTCACACCATCATGGAACAGCAACACGAACGCAGCAGAACGAGCCCCAACAGTCAAAGCATCAACGCTAGGGGCCTCCCAACCGCATCCCAATCACGCGCACAGCCAGCACGCATGCCAGGTGACTCCCACGTCAGGGCGACACGTTTTGCAACAGAGGGACACAATACAGCGACAGGTCCAGTACCAACGGAGCTTACTTCATGCAAAGGCGACCCTTGCCCTGCCAGTGCCACACATGGCTTGGAGGCTTGCCGCGCCCCCAACATGGGCACGGAGACCTTGGCGTACCAGTAGACGGTCCTCTTCCGACCAGTCCATACCGCCACTGACCACAGCTCTGTAGTTTGGCTCCAGAGGCGAGCCAATGGCACTGGCCACGACACCGGCCAGCGACAGACTCCCTCTACACAACGACAAGGAGCAGAATCTGGATAATCTTGCCCCTCGAAGACAGGCAGCTCCTACGCACCACGAGGGTATACGATAGCGTAAGTTACCGTGAGCACGCGACCTCCAGAAGTGGCCCAGTTCTGCGGTCAAGGTTCTTGTCACGTGTAAACGACCCAGCCGATCACGAACCGCATCTGGGCAACGCAACCAGAATAGTAAGAAATGCCAGGGGGGTCGCCACTGGGAAGTGGACGATAAAGAACATGTTCCAGGTTCGTCGTCGCCGTCGCCGTCAAGGCCGCCAGGCCGTAGACAGCGACCCAGGAGAAAAAAACAATTGTTTTGATCGTCTTTGTCCGATTTGCTTTCTAGTCGCGCGGTCGCATTCGCAGTTTGCCAGTCGGTCCGATCTCAGGTGCGCAGATCGCAGCTGCCCTCGCACGCGCCAGGCTCTCCACAAGTTCAGCGTGTCGATCGCCCAGGACCCGCTACCAGACGAGGCGTCGAGGGATGCGAGGGATCAAGGTGAATGGAGTGTTGTCAGAGCATGTGCGCTTGCAGAGGGTAGTCAAAGGCTCTTGAAGTCGGCGCCAGTATGGTTGACCAAAGTGCTGACGCGAATCTGAGATTTGCATAAGTAGGAACGCTTTTGCATCAATGGTCGCGTGATGTTGCCCGCGTGTTTTTGCATGACTTGGGTTTGCTTCAGGGTGTGTGGTGGGCACCGCCCTGCTCGACTTGTCATTACATGTGCGTCCAGCTGCCAATTACTTTAAATAACTACGCTAAGCTTTGCGTTCTAATGTCATGATGTGCGACGCCATGAAATGATGTATGGTATGGCAGGCTACGATGTGCAATGCGCTACTAGGCAATCGTATATCTTGCTAGGTAATGTCCTGGGCTGCTCAGCGATGTTGCGCGACTGAATACTACGCAATGGTTTGTACTCATATGATGTGCGCTGCAATTGTCTGCACACTTCTGTTCAGCAACGCGATGCCTTAGTGTGAGTTCCGTTGCCTAGTGATGTTGTGCTATGTGATCCGAGGGCCAACGCACTGTGCGCTGTGGTTTACCGTGCCATGTTGCAGCATGATTGTGTAGCGTGCTGCGTTTTTCACTGCTGCGATGCTCAATACAGCGGTGTTGTGTTGGGTTGCAAGTTTGTTCTGTAATTCTGCGCTACCTAATGCAATGCGATTCATGTCTAAGCCATGCTGCGATACGCAACCCAGTACTGTCCAATGTGATAGACCATGCGGTACTTTGCAATGCAATTTTATGGATTGGCAGGCGATGGTGAGTGATGCTACGTGTTGTTGAGGTATGCAGTATCAATGCATGAGAGGGTTTTCACTGCTGGACCACGGTTTGATACGCAAAGTATTGGTATGGTGGTTCAACACCATTTCGTGCTATGCTGTTCAATGTTGACCTTACCATTGAACGCCGTTCAACGCGACGCTTTGCAAAACCATGCAACGACTTGTTGTGTTACACAATGGCGCATTATGCTACGATATGTCATGCAACGCCCTGCTATGATCTGCCACGACATGTTATACTTCGCGGATCACACACGATGCTACGGCATGGGTGACTCTGCTATTCAATGCTAGGTTGTGCGAGTGGTCAACTATGCAATGCCACCAATGCTGTGCTGTGTAATGATATGTCAAGGTATGTTGTGTCATACCGCGCTGTGACATACTATGCTACGAATTGCTGAGCAATTCAATGTGCTGATATGTTGTGCCGCGATATGCTTGACGGTGTTTCTTCTATGCGTTGATCTGTAATGCTGCACTGTACTACCGTGCATTGAGATGCACTGCGTGAAGCTACATTGTTTTGCATGTCGATGCTGCTCTCAGCTGGATAAGACTCTGGTCGGGGTCGCGCCGGTTTCATGATACGCGCTCTTGCGTTTTTTTGATATTGTGTTTGCCAACAGCTGCGCGCCGCACCAGCGTGGGCTCCATTTCCTTATCCTCCTCGTCATGCTCATCCCCCTCTGCTCCCACCTCTGTCCCTCTCCTACCCCCCCAGTCCCCTTATATTGGATTTTCGATGGATTTCCAGCGAAGGCCCCAGTGCGCCAGCTTCGCGAGGTTGCCTCCAACCCCAACAGAAGCGCACCGATTATAACTTTCACGGATCCAAGCTGAAACCCAAATGGAGCGGGCACCGTCGCATACACCCTAGACACATTTTGATCTACGGCACGTCGCGGTGGTATTTGGGCCGTCCAGCAGCGCTTGCGAACAAGCCATGACTTCAGCCGTCGAAGCACTGAGTTCACGGCATCGGGAGATGTTAGTTAGTGTGTTCCCCTCCAGGGGGGGGGCCATCTTGACGCAACAGTTTGCGGTGCTCGCACACGGCGCGACCGCCCCGTGCAGCTGGAAGCATCTAGTGTTGCCTGTTTCGCTCGCGCCCTCCTCCCCCTGCCTTCAGCAAAGAGCACAGCGAATGCCCTGGCTGCGTGTCTCGTACGTCGCCCTCCTTCCCAGGGTGGCACTCCCATCGCGCATGGCTCCCAGCCCCCCCTCCCCCTCCCGCCCCGCCCCCAGAAAACCCGAGCCGCGGCCTCGGAAAGGCAGCTTCGCGCACCAGCCCTCCTCTCTCTGCCCAGGGAACAACAGGGTCAAGTCCCCGCGGTCGACTTTCGCGCGTTGGCGGTGCCAAGGACGAAGGACCACCCTTGATGCAGTCTCCCCGCCCCCCCCCGCGTGGGAAGCCCAATCAAAGGCATCAGCGGACTGTATGGTACCACCCCGATCCAAGCGACCCACCCCCAATTCGCATAGGTCACCCATATACGGGAGCTCTATCTGCAGCTCCAGTTAGCACTTTCGCACCAGTCTCCCCGCCCAGACTGGCCCACCTCTCATGGGCAGCTTTTCCGTGCGCGCGACATGCAATGCGAATTGCAACGGGCGCCCTTAAGCAAGGACAACTCCAATGGCTTGCATGTTCAGCACGCGCTCTAGAGGTCCTGACTCAAAGGGAGTGGAGAAGTAGGCGAAGGTCAGGTTCGAAATGTGTTGCACGGTGGCGTGCCAAGTTATCTCGCCAAAGCCAGTCATGAATAAACGCAGCGCGTAAGCGTGCAAGCAAACAACGCCGATCATATTCCACCGGCCCGAGCAGCGGATAGAAGAAGGTTACGTGTTTCACACACAATTCGTCCGGCAGCATCTAGACGAATGTCTTGTATAGCCCCACCGTTGCCTCACCTCTTTGATTTTGTTAGTGTAGAATTATCGTTCGAGGTCCAGATGAGTTGTGCTCAGTCTTGGTCTTGTGTTTGTGGCGTCTGTGTTCGAGATTGACGGGTGGCTGTTGGCACGCGCGTCACATTGAGAGAATGTTGTTTCCGATCTGCCTCAACCTCAACGGCCGCTTCAATAACATGTCATCTGCGCAAGCCCGACGAAGGGGGAACCATAAGATATGAGAGAGCGTGATCCACCGCCGTTTTACTGTGGAAATTCCCCCCCCCCTCTTCCTCCGGAACCCGGGGTCCCCCCCCCCTCCTCCGGAAAATCCCACCCCCCCCTGCTGGACCCCCCCCCCTCGCCTCCCCCGGCAAAAACCCCCCCCCATCCCCTACCCCCCCCCTTCCCCTCCAGAAAACCGGGGAGGGTCACTACCGGTTCGAACCCCCCGCCCCCCCCCCCCCCTTCTCCCCCTCGAAAACCGAGGGGGGTCACTACTGGTTCGAACCCCCCCCCTCCCCTCCAGGAAACCAGAGAAAGGTCACTACCGGTTCGAACCCCCCCACCCCCCTCCAGAAAACCGGGGTAAGGTCTACTCCCCCCCCCCCCTCGAAAACCCGGGGGGGGTCACTACCGGTTCGAACCCCTCACCCCCCCCCCCCCCCCGAAAACCGGGGGGGCACTACCGGTTCGAACCCCTCCCCCCCCCTCACCGCCAGCAAACGACTCCCAGTCCTTACCACCGTCCGCACCACGCACCACATCCCCCACTGCTGTTCCCAGCACCACCTGTCCTCACCACCACTGTCCCCACTGGTTCCACCACCGTCCCTACTGTCCCCACCGTCGCACTGTCGCACTGTCCCGACCACTGTCGCACTGTCCCCACTGTCCCCACCACTGTTCCCACCACGGTTCCACTCTCCCCACTTTCTCCACGGCCCCAACCACTGCCCGACTATCCCCACTGTCCCCACTGTCCCACTGTCTCCTCCGCTGTCCCACTGAGCTGTCCCACTGTTCCCACCACTGTCCCCACTGTCCCCACCACTGTCCCCACTGTACCTCTGTCCCACTGTCCCACCGCCGTCCTCGCCACCGCCTTCACCACTGTCCCCACCACCACTGTACCCTCCACTGTCCCACTGATTCCACCACATTCCCACTGTCCCCACACCACTGTCCCCACCACCACCGTCCCCACCACTGTCCCACTGTACCCACTGTTCCCACCATTGTCCCCGCTGTCCCCACCAGTGCCCCCACCAGTGTGTCAATGTCCCCACTCTCCCCACCATTGTCCCACCACGGTCCCACTCTCCCCACTTTCCCCACGGTCCCCACGACTGTCCCACTGTACCCACTGTACCCACTACTGTCCCACTGTCCCCGCCGCTGTCCCTGTTCCAGCGTCCCCACTGTCCCCATCACTGTCCCACTGTCCCCACTGTCACCACCACTTTCCCCACCGTGCTACTGTCCCACCACTGTCCTCACCACCGCCTTCACCACTGTCCCCACCACTACTGTCCCCACCACTGTCCCACTGTCCCCACCACTGTCCCGCTGTCCCCTCACCACCGTCCCCACCACCACCGTCCCCACCACTGTCCTCCGCACCCCCCCCCGGGTTTTCGAGGGGGGGAGGGGGGGGGGTTCGAACCGGTAGTGACCCCCTCCGGTTTTCGAAGGGGGGAGGCCGGGGGTTCGAACCGGTAGTGACCCCCCCCCCCCTTTTCATGATGGACTGCAGAGGGGAGGGGTTCGAACTGGTAGTGACCCCCCCCCGGTTTTCCGGAGGGGAGGGGGGGGGGTTCGAACCGGTAGTGACCCCCCCCGGTTTTCCGCCAGCAGCGGTAGAACACGCTCTTTCATATCGATGCCGCTTCTCCCCAGATTTCTCCCAAGGTACATTGGTGTCGAGGCGAATCCACCCGTGGCAGCGACGCACGGACGGGTACGGGTGTCGGCACCTGTTCTTCCTTTGACGACTGGTGCGTCAGTTCGGGACCATGTGAATTCTCGCCAAAGCCAACGCACCTATCGGCGGGACAACATTCGAGTCTGGCAGGCTGACAGTCAAGTGTGCGGACGCTCTGTGCAACGAGGGTGCAGTTTCTCTTGCAGGGATGGGTTCTAGACGTTCTAGACGCTTCCGCCGTTCTCGTCGGCTTTTGGAAGTTCCTGCCGGCCTCAGCGGTCTTCCAGCTTAGGAGTGCTCTCCGGCAGCTGCGCCTTGCTGAGAGCCGTCTGGAGTTGCCCGGATCGTCCCGAAAGGCCGCAGACCTGAGAGGATCACCAGGGAGGCGCAGCATAATGGCAAAAACGCAGAACCGTGTGTAGTTTGTCAGCATGCGGTCTGACGGCGATGCGACCATTCGACCGGGCGGCGTCTCGGCGGCAGTTCAGTCGCAGCCCCAGCCTAGATCTCGTCGCCGTCCGTCTGTTCTCTCGGGTTGGTCGTTTTCCCTTGGCTTCCACACCGTCCACATTACGGCAAGCTCATAAGTACACTCGTCAGCACCGACCCGAGCTGATTCGGAACTCCCCCTACTCCAAAGGGATTACCGCAGGTGGTCAAGCACCTGCTGCAGAGGGCCGAGACCGCGATTCAGCAGACACCTGCAGCAGACAGGACCGTCTCTGCCATGATGGCATGGTCCTCCCCCACCCCACCCCTGTTCTGCAGGCGCAGGTGATAAGAAAGCCTTGAAAAAAGTCAAGATGGATACACGAAGTTGTGAAGTCGTATGCGACGCGGCGTGCTCCAAGTTCACGGTTGCGTAGCATGCCTCTGGGCTGCGCGGTGTCCCGCCGAGTCTGTACGACGACCCCTCGTCTTGTTTATTTCAAAATGTTGGATGCTTGGGGTTACTTCTTTGCCTACGTGAGGGCCAGGATGGGCTCTGGTTTTCGGGCCGCTCCTTAGATCTAGATCGGGGGAGCTGCTCGTGGCCGAGGCTCGCCGTGGTCAGAAAAGTCCATTCGTTTCTTATTCTGCTCTCCTTGCAGTAGCACGGTGACCCGAGGTTGATAGAACCCCCATCCTGCCATGTCGATTGGCGAATCGCCCTCCTCCTGTTCTCGGGAGGGTGTTGCGGACATAATTTTGCGGGCCTGCGTCCGCTGGGTTTGGCCCCGGGTCGTTTCACTAAAGGGTGTTTTGTGAGAGTGGTTTCTGTCCACCCCCGAGATGACTGCGAAGGCCTTACGGCCGGTGCCGCCGACCCTGAATGGCGACGACGACGACGACGACGACGACGACGACGACGACGACGACGACGACGAGCGATCTTGGGGGCCTCTTGGGGTAGTTTGTGGGCCTCTTGGGAAGCTCTTAGGGGCCGCTTGGAAGCCTCGTGGGGGCCCCTTGGGGCTTCCTGGGGGTCTCTTGGAGGGGGCCTGGGACGTCTTGGAGGCTTCTTGGACGGTCTTGGGGCTATCTTGGGCGTTTTCGGCCGATCTTTAGGCGACTCGGGGCCCTCTTGGGCCGTCTCGGGGGCCACCTTGGGCATTCGGACCTCATTTGGAGTGTTTGCGAGGTTTCTGGGCCGCCCGAGGAAAAACGAATCTGCCCCCCCCCCACCCCCCACCCCACCCCCCACGTCACCCCCCCCGGGACCCCCCCCGGCCCCCCCGCCCCCCTGGGGAAGGGATCAAAGGGAAGGGGCTTCCCTTCGACTCGATTACGACACTGCTAGATTTTTCTCTCGCTCACAAGCTTGAGAAGGAAGCTGCAGGGAAAGGGGACGACGGAGGCGACGACCGACGGAGACGACGACTCGCACAGCCAAGCCCCTCGCACACGCCGACAGGGTCGGCGGATTTCAGATAATCCGACGATGTGACTACAGGTGATTATCCAACCTTTCCATGAGGTTGTGTCTCTTCGTCCCGGGCTCGTGTTTGACTACCCAGGGGTCCAACAAAGGGCCGCGGAGGCAAACGCCGAGGCAAAACGCTTCGATTACTAAAGCCTCATCGCTGGAGGTTTTGGGACCGTCCACCCCGCCGCTTCCCGCCTAAACCGCCCCGGTTGCCCGTCTCCTGGACCAATATTTGCCGGCCAGAGCCTCGGAGAACGGTGTTCAGGAGGCCAGGCCTCGCCCATCCCTTCAATCCTCAAGCGCTCTTCATTGGTTTTCGATTTCCAGCATTTGCGCTCCTCCTCCTCCTCCTCCTCCACCTCCTCCTCCTCCTTCTCCTCCCCCTCCTTCTCCTGCCCCCTCATCGATACTCCTCAAGCGATGTCCGGATGGCTCCAGTACGCGGCCCCCAGAAGTTCCGATCCTGTCCCCAGGGTCGGTTCTGCATCCCGAACTACTGCTTGACGGTCCCGAGGCCCAGCGAGGGCCGCCAGAGGCCGAACACGGCCAAAAAATTCCCGCCGTGTTTTTTTTTCATGGCGCGGGCAGATCCGAGGAGGGTGGAGGCGAGCGGGGCCAGGTTGGACGAAGGCGATTTCTCCATGACGCGAACCTGAATCTGCATCGATTCGGATGCAACTCCTTGGAGGTTAAAGTCAATATCGGCAATGGTATTTTCGTGGTCGAACGCTGTCCGAATCCGGCACATTCCTGTTGAATCCAGCTCGATCCCACTTTATCCCGTTCGATTGGGCTGCTCAATCCCGAGCTCAATCCGGCCTGATCCGGCTTGGTGGCGCCTCGATCGGGCCCAATAGATTTCGATCGTTACTACGAGGACCTCTCAGGAGTTGCTTCCCAACATCGACGCCAGACCCTCGATTCATGTAGGCTCGTGTCGCGTCGACGCGGCGGGACCCCGCCAGTGGCCCAGAGTCGGCCAATATGGAACGATCTGGCGATCGTGAAGACACCGATCGTTCAAGGTTGAACGATCCACGTGGTGTCAGAAACCAGCGCCGCAGTCGTCACGACACGAAGCTGCCGTACGCCAATTCTCCTTCTTCCATGTCTGGCCCAGCCCCAGACCCAGACCCCCGACGTCATGTTTCTCTGTTTTCTCACAACGTCGAGCCCAGAAGGTCTCGAACCATTCCCCGGGACCGGCTTTTCGTCCTGGGTCGTTTGGTGACGGCCACGAGGCCCGCTGAGGGCCTCCAGAGGCCGAAAACAGCGAAAGACCTCCTGGTGTGACTTTGCCATGGCTCGAGGGGGTTTGGGCCAGACGAAAAGGTGCGAAAGGGTAGGACAGGGAAAGGGGGGCTCCGAAATCTGCTGAATGCAGCTGGTTCCTGCCCCGCCGCCAGGCCCAGTCGTCGGTGCATGAACGCTTCCCGGCGCCAGGAGGCGCCAGGAAAGCCAGCCACGTGAGCCGATTCTCTGCCCTGCCCTCTGCCATCCTGCTCTCTTGCGTCCCCCCCCGACACGGGGGCGTCGACCCCTGGGCCCCCCACCGCCCCCCGCAGGAAGGGCGCCGACCAGTCTCCGCGGCAGGCCCCCGCGGGCCAGCCGCCCGGAGCGGCGGGGCCGCCCGCGGAGGACGGCAGGCCGCGCGAGCCGCCGCCTCGGCCTGCCCCGGGCGGCGCCGCGGGCGGCCCGCCGCGGGGCCCAGACGTTTTTTCAGGGAGCGCCTGCGCCGGAAGCCGCGCTTCGCCCGGAGCCCGCCTCCCCTCGGTGAAGCCGTGCACAGCAACCTCGTGCACGCAGGGTCGCCCGGGGCAAAGGCCAAGAATGTGACTATAGGTGGCTCTCTACAGGCACAGCTTCCCCCTTGGAGAAAAAGGTACCCTATGCCGCCGCCCCTGCCTCGTTGGCCCTTCTGGTTGGGCCTCCTCGGAGGCCCCCGTCGCCGCCGCTGGATCCGCCCCGAAGTTCTGGTCGGAACGCGCCCCCGGGAGGGGTCCGGGGGGAGCAGCGGCATCGGCACCTGGCGGATCCCCCACAAGGAGAGGCTCCGCGGGCGGCCTGCCTCGGGGCGGCGCCACGGCGGCGGGCCTCCCCCGGGTCAAGGGGTCCGCTTCGCTCCCAGCGGTCCGACGCGCGACATCGATCCCGGCCGGCCCGATCCGACTCGAGTCCGATGTGCCGACGGTCCGAGATGGCCGGATGTTTGTTGGGAACCCCCAAACCGGGTGGTGAGATACCAGGTGGCGACCTGGAATCCCCAAAAAGGTCACCGCTGGGTTTGGGGACGCGGGGTCACCACCGGGTTTTGTGACTCCTGGACCCACCAGTGTCCGGGACATCCTCGGAAAACCGCACGAGTCCCCAAACCGGGTGGTGACACCAAATCGCCCGAGACTCACCGCCAGGTGTTGTCACCACCACGTTTGGGGACTACCAAAAGTCCAATGTTCCGACGGTCCGAGATGGCCGGATGTTTGCGCGGCGCCGGTGTGCATCTTGGCGCAGCCGATCCGATTCGAGTTCCGTTCCGTGCCGATGCATAGCCCGATCCGATATACACGTGTCGATCGGATCCGATGTGCCCGTTCCCGTTCGATGCGGACTGGTTCTTTCCCCTGCCCAGACATGCCCGCGTCGTGGGAAAATGAACAAGGTGCGAGGTTGTGATGTAGTTTCGGCCTCAGGGGTCCCTCGCCGGGCCTCAGGGCCTTCGAAAGACGATTGATGATAAAGAGTCCGATGTTTGCAGCGGGAGCTCGCGCCAAAGTTCGGACCAGGTCTCGTCCTTGTTGTGCTGGCCCTCTCCCACGAGTTAGAGTCCCCCAAGCTCGAGTCGTACGTCTCCCCGACGGGAGGGGGACTTTGCTGCCCTCCAGAGGCGGGGTACGCTTGCTCGAGCTCGAGCTTGTGTCCACTGGTCCTTGGCCATCGCCGCCCCCCCCCCTCGTGGCGTCCCTGTTCTGGGCGGTCTTCCGCTGGGCCCCCCCCCCCCCCCAAAAGCGTCTGGCGGCCGCAAGCGAGCAATGTTCCTCATCCAATCTGGTGCGGGGAGGGGGGCGGCGATATGCTCGCCGCTCGCGATTCTACGGTGTCTGTGTATCCCGCCCGCGATGTGACACCACGGTCGCCATAACATACGGACGGGCAGCGAGCTTGTCAATCGCATCTTGCCTCGAGGATGGGAGCCAAACTGCATCGATATCGGCACTCGGATACAATGTAGCTCGGCCGAGACGCAGCACGCTTCGTGCCAGGGGTCCGCAGGCATTGGGAAAAGAGGCACCATCACCACTCGGCGATCTCGACGGTGGGTGGACTGAGCGGTGGTGGCAGTACCTCCAATCAGGCCGCGTGCGGTATGTAGCTTCGCGCAGCACCGACGCGGCGGAAACCCAAGCGCGGGCATTCAAGGTCGAAAGCCGCCGGTGCCTCGCAATCGGCCGACGTCGAATGACCTGCGCTACCAGAGAGCCGCGATAGCCCAAGCTGGAGCGATCCCCGCGGCTTCGGGGACCAACGCCGAGGTCGTGGCGACAAGAGGCTGCCGTACTCGGGGCCAGTCGATCTGGGCCAGCTGCTGGGAGGGGGGGTCGGCTGAGGCTCCTCCCGCGCCAGACCAACAAGTTCACCAAGGCGGTCGGTACGGTGGCAGCCGCGACCATGGCCTGCAGGCGCGGGCCGCGGGGCGCCCTGGTTTCGGGGGCCCTTCGCCGACATGCGGCCTGTCCTCCTGGGTGATGTATGATCTCCTGCTCGGTGGCTGTGGCTGGAGATGTCCAGGCTTCACGGGACCATACGGCAGTCGGGAGTGGCTGGTGATGTGATTCATCTCCGCCTGACTGACGTCCGCCGCGGTGCCGACACGTGAAGCCTCGAGCGCGAACGGCGGCGGCAAGGAGGAGGAGGAGGAGGAGGAGGAGGAGGAGCAGCAAGCAGATGGAGAGTGAAGATGCGGCAGGGCCGCCTACGATCCGATTCGATGCGATTCGATTCGCTTTCTGGGGCCGCGATTCAGGCTCGATTCGATTCGGGTCGATTCACCGGCATCGGCCGGGGCCAGCCGGAGAAGGGCGGGGCGATCCGATTTCGATTCGATGTGTGGCGATTCGCTTGCGATCCGATCCATTTCCGATCCGACCCGATGTCGTGATTCAATACAGTTCAGGCCGGCGGCCTGTGTGGTGATTTTCACGCGGCGTTTCCGGTCCTCGCGATGTGTTTTTAAAAGCGCATGGACAGGTTGGCATGCGTTCTCTCGGGGGCCATCAAATGGATCGGTGACCACAGTGCGTGGTAAGTCAGCGGGGATTCGGGGTACCCCGACGGTTTTGGGACTGGGGTAGTTCTCCGAGGACGTCTCGGGCGACTATACCTCCAGGGTCCCAAGACCGTGCGGTGACGGACTGCGCAGCGAGGGCTTCTGGGATTTCAAGGTTTCTGCATTGCTTGTCACCGCACCGTTTCGGGACCCCCAGTCCAGGTCGGGGGCTTCCAAGTAGGTGGTGAGGACGAGCGAGTGGCTCTTTACATATTGTAGTGGCCTTCGGCCAGTGCCGCCGATCCGGGGCGCTCCGACTGATGTGATCCTCCTTCGCCCTCGTCCCTCCTCTCTTTTCCCTTCCTTCCCCCTTTCATTCCGCATTTATCCAGTGGCCGTCGGCCTATCCCACCACCGTGCGTGGGTGGTGGGTCAGAGGCCTCATGGACGCTGGTAGGGATATCGTGGTTGGCCGGGACCTCTGGGGGCCTCTTGGAGGCCTCTTGGGGCTTCTTGGGGGCCTCGTGGGCCTCTTGGAGCCACTTCTCTTGGGAGTCTCTTGGGGCTTCTTGGGGGCCTCTTCTGGGCCCCTTGGGGCCTCTTGGAGGCTTCTTCGGAGCCTCTTGGTGCGGGAGGGGTGGCACTCGAGTTCGGACCCCCCTCGGAGGCCACGATCCTTGTGAGGGGTGTCAAAAAACGCATCCGCCGGAAACTCGCACCCCCCCCCCCACCCCCCCTTCCCCGGCAGAGCCACCCCGGCAACCCCCCCAGAGGCTGAGGCTCAGCCTCGAGGCTGTAGCTGAGACTCCTTGTAACTCACACGCCGGATCGGCGGATTTAGGGGATTCAGGGTTCCTGGAACCAGCCAGGGAATACGTACAGGATGCTCAGGGATACACCCGTGGGGAGCTATTCGGACGCACCTCTATTGAGGATGGACGCCCCCTATCTATCCCCGAGGTGGGCGCCGTTTGTTTGGCACAGTCGAAGTCCTTCGAAGTCGGGGATTGGGGTCGCAGTACCCCCCGTGATTGTGGAGCTGTTCCTACCTCCAGCCCCCTCCCTGTACAGCGGTCCTCCAGATGGCCAGGAAGGATCGACACCGCACAACAGCATCCAAACGTCGAAGCACAGCAGCCGTTATGGGCATGATTTGTCGGACGTCCGCGCTGGTATCTCATGTCGGCCGGGGTTCCAATGTCGCTCCAATAATTCCGCGTGGACCTCCCAAAGTTCATGTTAAGGCCAGGCTCTGCTGTTATATCTGCCTTCTCGATTCCTCGAGGGAGGCCGACGATGAGGAGGGAGGAGGAGGAGGAGGGAGGAATGTGTCAAGCTAGCGATGAATCACTGCACTGACGACCGATGCAGATGCTGATCGGTGTTTGCGTGAAGGACATCGTTGCAGCCCGAGCCTGGTCAGTCTAAGCGCTGCCTGATGTTGCAACGGCTCGGAATCAGGATATGTATGGTGCTGTGATGGCAGCACGCTTCGAGAAATTGCGACGGATACGCATATTGATTACTCTGGGGACCTCTGGGGGCAGTTATGTCGTGGAGGAATTGGAGGGGAACCACCATGAAAGTAAACGCCGTCCTGGACAGAAATGCAGACGAGCGTTTGCCCGTAGCCTCAGCTATGTTTACAGGCAAGTGATGCCCGCAGAAATTCCCATAGCATGTCTCAGAACGCACATGTCTGGGGAACCCCGACATCCCCTCAAGGCGAGATGCATCTACCCAAATGCGCGCTGGCACCAGCGACACTCGCGCAGATCCACCAAGCGGGCAGCGTGATGCGCCATCTGGGCCTCGCTGAGGGCAAGTTCTCTCCATCGGGAAGCCCGTGACAACACGTAGGCCCTCAAAGTTGACGGGGCCACTGCCCAGGAAGGGGGGGGGGGCATATCTTCGGAAGAGGATCGATGCGCTGAGTGCCCCAATCCCAAATCGATCGCGAGGGCTAGCCAGTGCACATCGAACGGCACATCGTGCATGGCGCGGAGCGCGCGCTCCAAGCACGCAGAGCACAAAATGTTTGAAATCATCGGCTTGTCGTCTACGTAACGCGCGCACGTAACACCTGCTGCCCAACGCCACCCGCGAAGAAGAAAACGCAGCGAAATCAGGACATCCTCGTCGTTTATTCAATCAGTTTCACGCAGGCACCTAAGTCAATGAATAAGACACCTTGCTCAGGAAGCCCCCGATGGGGACCCCATCGACCTGCGCCACAGCGTCGCCAACGCTGGCCATATTGACGCGGACGAACGCTGCCATACAGAAAGCTAATTACCTAACAGCTTTTGCTGATAGGTTTCTAGCGGGATCAAAAGAGAGCATCTTGACGCCCCAGGGGGGTCTGGGCGGGATCCGGACACATCCGCACAGATCCGGCAGCCCCAGGAATCCTTAGGAATCTTTAGGACTTCTTAAGAATCCTTAGGAATACATTCCCATAACACCATTCCCAGGCCACATACTGAATGCCCGGAACTAAATGTAAGCCACTTCGTGTTCTTCGTGTTCCCAGAACACCATTCCCAGGCCACATTTTGAATGCCCGGAGCCAACTGTAGGCCACTTCGTGTTCTTCATGTTCCCAGAACACCATTCTCAGGCCACATGTTGAATGCCCGGAGCCAATTGTAGGCCACTTCGTGTTCTTCGTGTTCCCAGAACACCATTCTCAGGCAACATTTTGAGTGCCCGGAGCCAGCTGTAGGCCACTTCGTGTTCTTCGTGTTCCCAGAACGCCATTCCCAGGCCACATTTTGAATGCCCGGAGCCAACCGTAGGCCATTTCGTGTTCTTCGTGTTCCCACAACACAAATCTTGTGCGATATTTCGATTGCCCGGAGCCAACTGTGGGCCACTTCGTGATCTTCGTGTTCCCAGAACAGAAATCCTGTGCGATATTTTGAATGCCCGAGCTGAGGCAGGCTGAGGCCGAGGCACGCTAAGGCCGAGGCAGGCTGAGGCTGAGGCTGAGGCACGCCGAGGCAGGCTGAGGATGAGGCTGAGGCTGAGGCAGACTGAGGCTGAGGCTGAGGCAGTGGCTGAGGCTGACGCAGGCTGAGGCCGAGGCAGGCTGAAGTTGAGGCTGATGCAGGCTGAGGCTGAGGCAGGCTGAGACTGAGGCTGAGGCAGGCTGAGGCTGAGGCTGAGGCTGATGCAGGCTGAGGCTAAGAGGCAGGCTGAGGCAGAGGCAGGCTGAGGCTGAGGCTGAGGCCGAGGCAGGCTGAGGCTGAAGCCAAAGCCGAGGCAGGCTGAGGCTGAGGCTGAAGCTGAGGCAGGCTGAGGCTGAGGCTGAGGCTGAGGCTGAGGCAAGCTGCGGCTGAGGCAGGCTGAGGCTGAGGCTGAGGCAGGCTGAGGCTGAGGCAGGCTGAGGCTGAGGCTGAGGCAGGCTGAGGCTGAGGCTGAGGCCGAGGCAAGCCGAGGCAGGCTGAGGCTGAGGCTGAGGCTAATGCTGAGGCAGGCTGAGGCTGAGACAGGCTGAGGCTGAGGCTGAGGCAGGCTGAGGCTGAGGCAGGCTGAGGCTGAGGCCGAGGCAGGCTCAGGAGGCTGAGGCAGGCTGAGGCTGAGGCAGGCTGAGGCTGAGGCAGGCTGAGATTGAGGCTGAGGCAGGCTGAGGCTGAGGCTGATGCAGGCTGAGGCTGAGAGGCTGAGGCAAGCTGCGGCTGAGGCAGGCTGAGGCTGAGGCTGAGGCCGAGGCAGGCTGAGGCTGAGGCTGAGGCAAGCCGAGGCAGGCTGAGGCTGAGGCTGAGGCTAAGGCAGGCTGAGGCTGAGGCCGAAGCAGTAGCTGAGGCTGAGAGGCTGAGGCAAGCTGCGGCTGAGGCAGGCTGAGGCTGAGGCTGATACAGGCTGAGGCTGAGGCAGGCTGAGACTGAGGCTGAGGCAGGCTGAGACTGAAGCCGAGGCAGGCTGAGGCTGAGAGGCTGACGCTGAGGCTGAGGCAGGCTGATGCTGAGGCTGAGGCCGAGGCAGGCTGAGGCTGAGGCTGAGGCAAGCCGAGGCAGGCTGAGGCTGAGGCTGAGGCTGATGCTGAGGCTGGCTGAGGCTGAGACAAGCTGAGGCTGAGGCTGAGGCAGGCTGAGGCTGAGGCAGGCTGAGGCTGAGGCCGAGGCAGGCGAATTCTTCGGAATCCTTAGGATTCCGTAGGAATCTTTAGGAATCCCTAGGAATCCCTAGGAATCAGGATTCCTAAGGATTCCGATGGATTCCTAAGGATGCCTAAGGATGCCTTAGGAATCCCTAGGAATCCTTAGGATTCCATTGGATCCTAAGGCCGTTGCCACTGCGACTGTCATCGCGAATGCGACTGCGACTGCGAAAACAGCAGACTTCTACAACCGGATTCCCATCTGCATCTTGAGGGGCATGTTTCCAGATGTGCTTCTGCACATCGCTGTGAGGTTGCTTTGCCAGGATAGTTTTACAAACGAGACTGTCATCAGACCCCGACGTGGGTTGCCAACCCGGCCCCCCCAATGGGCACGCCGACGTTGGCTTCGGAAGACGGTCGCAGCGTCCATCGCGCCACCGCGCCGTGCCCGGCGGAACAGCTCCAGGGTTGCCTCGTCCGCGTCCACGGCGTGCACGCTCTCGAATTTTTTTCTGCATTCGCGACCAGGCCTTCAACCTTGCACTTCGGGGCCCCGCATCTGAAGCATTCGCACTTCAGCTTGCCATGGAAACTTCGAAGGTGCGCCATGCTCATCCCAGCAGATTCTGGCGCGTCCCTCGAGCGAAACACCTCGAAGCCAGGCGAAAATCTCGCAAGCAGCGTCTCAAGTGCTCGAGACAACAGCCTCTAGTTGTTTTTTGTGCCAGCCTGTGAAGCTCTAGATTTTCCTTCAGCAGCTGTGCTCAGGTGTGCTCAGGCCGCATACACGAGTGCACCTGCTTTCTTGGGTTGGCGAAACACTTTGCGTCTATTGTGTTGTAAATGTTGAGCAACCGCCATACATCCAGATCCACACCGAGAAATGTGTGCAGGCGGTGGGGGACCAGGCCAGTCAGCGTTGCACACAGCAAACGGGTGGCAACATCCCTGCTGATACCCACGAACTTCCAGGATGTATTGATTTGGACGTAGTGGAAGAGATTGGCAATGAAGCACGCCTTCGGGACCCGCCAGGCAGCTTATTTGTCCTTGTCGTCCAGACAAATTTGGGTTCCCTGGGATGCGGGTTGCTGGCCGCGCGTGTGAGCAGCATTTTGCCTGGCCGAAGCGCGCCACCCTGACACTTGCACACAAGTTCCACGATCCCTGGCAAACCGAACTTGGGACCAACTGTGAGCCGTGTGGCGAGCAGCAAACACACCGCACAACAGCCTCACGTGTCGCACCGCAATGCCACGCGCTTCAATGGCAAGTCTATGCACAGGTACTCGGACGGGGACGTCCTAGCGCTAGTTGATGTAAAGTATGTCCCGACACTCGATGGATCGCCTCCCATCCTTCGAGAACACGTGGTCAAAAGCAGAATTCCTAACCCTCCTGGACGCCCTCGAGGAGTCGACGCGGTCCAATGCAGCCTGCACCGCCTCGCCGCGATCTTAAAGTGGCTGCGCACCGGGCCAATTTCCGCCCAGGACCGTCCCCACAACAAGAATTGCTTCCTGCAGCAGCTTGCGAACAGCTTAAATCTGCGACGGGAATGGCACGCGAATGATAACTCTGGGAACGCCTGGAGTGCTCCTGCTCCTTCCTCCTCGTGCCGGCCCTGTCTCACGTTTTTTTTGCAGCAGTGCGAGTGTTTCGGAGTGCCGTTTCTCAGGCACCTGCTTGGGTCAGGGGCGTTCGCCCGCAAACATCAGGGAGACCCTACGTTGCAAACAAAAACGCCAGGAAGACCATAAAAGTGGAGAGCCTGATCGATTCGCCTCTGGGCCTACAAAGCGGGCCCCAAACCGAGCCAAGGAGGCACGCTGCAGCGACTGGCCCGCATGGCACTCGCCACGGCTCTTCTGGTCTCCCCCAGAGTACATTGAAAAGAGTGGCCAGCATCAAGATGAGCAGATGTCAACCGGGCCAGACTCCCTGGCCCCTGCGCGCTGACAAGCAACGGGCACGTACCTGACAGACTCTCTGCCACCATTCGCCCTGCCAGCGCTCGCATTGCCGAGCGGCTCGGGGAGGGCGCAGGTCGTCCCCTCTGGCGACGGCACCGGCGCGCGGCAGGCGCAAGCCGGCATCGCAGAGATCCCATCCGAATGCGGGGGGGGGGCCTTCTCTCCCAGAGGCCGGGGGGGGGGTCCCTGGCGGCCCCATTGGCATTGCAAGGGAGTGCGTGGACGCAGGCAATGTCGGTAACCTGCATCCGCCCAGCCGTCCCAGAACGCGCACAAAGTCTGCTGGGTCGCCGACGTTCGCCTTGCGAGCCTGTGCTGGAGCCTCACAGAATGCGGAAGATCACGGCGAGCTCGGCCAGATCTGTGTTCCAGCCGTCGGTACAGGCCGCCTCCATGATGCCGCTGCGGTCTGGGACGATTGCGCGGTGCGAGGCCAGAGTACAACCAAAACAGCGCCAACACAAGCATAGACCGATGACTCTGGCTCATGCGCCGCGGTGGGTGCTAACGCTTGCCGATGCAAGTGCATCAACGATGTGTCCGCGCATCTCGAAGATGCCTCTCCGCCAGCCTGCCGCAAAGAGGATGGGTTGCACAGTGCGTCCTGGTGCGTAGGGGCCAACGCATGTAGGACCGCTCGCGCTTGCTTGCAGCAGCTCGCTTTCCGGAGTCAAGTAACGATCGGCAGCAGCGCAGTGCATCCCACCACAATTTTGTGTTTGCATCATGTGGCCGCCATTTGTGAGAGTGTTGAAAATCGAGATTTCCACAGACTCCAGCAAGGAGCGAATGCCTTGGAACACAATCTTCGACACACGTGGTTGTAGCAGCGCTACACGCACAAGGCAAACTAAGAGCACATTATCACAGCTGTCGAAGCGTGACACTTGATGCCATAGTCTTGATGAACTTGTCTTGCTTGAGCCCGATCACCGCCATCATGCGGATAAGCAGCAAGACAAGCCAGCAGATCCTCCGCATCTTCGGACGCGATGAACACCTCCTTACTGTCCTTGACCTCCGCGGCCCTCTCATCCAGGACCTGTTCCTGCACTTGGCACTGCGCCACGTCGAGGGCGCGGAGCAACACGGTGGCCTGCTCGAAGCTTGGCAGCCCCTGCAGCGCAGCGCGGACGTACTCAACATCCGCGGCGGCCATTCCATGGGGCTGCGGAGGGGGCGCGGGGGTCAGGTGCTGCCTCCAATTTGTAAGGGCACCCAGCTCGCGCAGCTCCCTGGCCTCCTGCTTCAAGCCCGCGAGCTCGACAGCGGCAGCCATGCCCATGGCTGACATGTAGTGCCCGCCAACGATGCCCCCCGTCTCACACTGGGCGCACAAGGACCGGCGGAAGACGGCTGTCCTTTGGGCGGCAGCCTGCGCCCGGATGGTGCCCACCTCGTTGTGCCAAGCCCGCTGGAGCCGCCGCACCGCCGCCGCACCGGCGTGCGGGCTGCTGTTGCCGCCCTCTTCGCGCCACCTGGAGGCCCGGAGGAGCTTCCACCGCGGCCGCCAGCGCGCGCCCGAGCGCTCCACAGACGCGCGCCAGCGGGGGCCTCTCGTACGCCGGGCTACTTGAGGCAGAATGGCCAGAGGGGAGGAGGAGGGAGGACAGGAGGAGGACGGGAAGGAGGCGGAGGAGGCGGAGGAGTAACAGAGGGAGGCAAGGGGAGGGAGGAGGCCCGAGGTGGACGAGAGACGCCCAGCCCAGCAGCCGCCGCGGCAACAAAAAAAGGCCCACAAGAGAGAGAGAGAGAGACAGAGAGAGAGAGAGAGACAGAGAGAGAGAGAGACAGAGACAGAAAAAGAGAGAGAGAGAGAGAGACAGAGAAAGGGGCTCTCGTTCGCCTTCTAGCCGCCCCAGAGAGAAGACAGAGGTAGAGAACGCTAGCGCGCCCTTCCTCTGCGCGCAGGGTTGCCAAGCGGTCGTCGGCGGAGGACGCCAAGGAGCGGCCGCACCGCTCCACCCTTCGGGGGGGGAGCTGCGCGGTCAGGGGCGGCTGCTTCGCGTCAAGTTCTTTACTCGGTACTCGGCACCATCGAGACGGGCACGGAAGGAACGGGCACAGAGTCCGACAGGTGCTCGGAATTGATACGGACTTGTTCGTCGGGTCCCGGAGGTCTTCTGACTTTTTTCAGGAGGGGAAAAAACACACAGACACAATCAATCGTCGATCCCCCAGAAAATATGGGAAAATATGGGAAGCGGTGGGGAAGACAAAAACCCAGAAAATATATGAAAATATAGGGAATATTTTTATTTGTGTGTATTTATTTGTGTGTCCCAGGGCCCCTCTGACTTTTTCTTCTGCTCCCGGAGGTTTCCCTGTCTCGGGGTGCTCTCCAGGAGCTGCGCCTCGCCGAGAGCGCTCGGGGGTTCCCGGACCGTCCCGAGCGGCCCGAGTTGTGGCCTACAGACCGCCAGAGACCCGGACCAACGTGCGCTCGCTTCGAGGATCGGAACGGGCACGGAAAGGACGGGCACGAAGATTGGCAGCAGTTCTCGTCCACTCTGCGCAACTCGCTGCCCATTCCCAACAGGGCTCGCACTGTCCACTTTAGACGGGAGGCCGCCTGGCCAACAGCGGCCGCTGTCGGTTGTGGACAACATTTGCTGCTGGGCATCGTACCTCACCACCCACCAAGCCACCCCAACCCAACCCGAAGGCTCAGATTTGCCCTCGATTTCCAGTGGGAGGGGGGTCGGGAAACATCGAGAAAACACATGTGGAACCCTTACCCCCCCCAACCCGAAATTCGGGTCTTCGGGTTGGGTTGGGGTGGTCTGGTAGGTAGTCAGTACCCATGTTTTCCCTACCCGTTTCGGGCCTCCAGCTTTATTGCCGCAGATTGCGGCCAGACTTGTCTGTTTAGCGTGTGTCGCGCCGCCGGCTCTGACCCACCAAGCTTCGGCGCGGCACGCTGTCCACATCCACCTTTTCCGAACGCTCAACGTCCCGAGCCTTTCCTTGGCCTCGCGCCCCGCGCAGCGGAGCAATACGCTATCCGCTCGCAGGGCATGGTGTGTCGCCAGGGCCGCCGCCGCCGCGACACGCTGAGCAAAAGTTGCCCCGACCGTAGCCCCCGCAGTTGCGGACAAGGGTGAGGGGGCGGGTGGGGAGGATCGGCGACAGTTTGCGAGGCTCGAGAGCAAACATGATGAAGACCACCGCAGACGCCGATACTTACACTTAACACACCGAGCCTGCGGCATGCGCCGATTTCTAGTCAACGCAATGTGGGTGGGTCGCGGGTGGGTCGCGGAGTGGGTCGCGGGCGGGTCGCGGGGTGTGTCGCGGGGTGGGTCGCGGGCGGGTCGCAGGGTGGTCGCGGGGGTGGAGGGGACGACAACAGCAAAATTAGTTATAATATTGTTCGTTTTTATTTTATCTGCTCGCGTGTCATTCAACATGTACATCCCAAACCCTCGATACCCGCCCCCTTCGTCTTCTATCTCAAGGCCCCCTTGGGGATATACCTTCCGGACTTGCCGCGTGTAGTTGGCGCAGCCCGGAGAAAACAGGGGAAGGGAGGGGGGAAGGGACAACGGGAAGAGAGAAGGATGGACCACGACGGAGATTAGCAGGAAGGGGAGAGCAGAACAATTAGCGACAGAACCAGACGGGCGGGGCGGGTCCGGCGAACGGGCCCAGACGTCGGGGTTGGGCGGGTGGGTAGTTGAAGCGTCAGCCCTGGATGAATCGCAATGAATTCTCCCGCGACAGCTCGATTCTCAAGTAAATTGTGAGGACTTCCAGGGTGAGAGTGTGATTCCTGAGTGTTGGGGGCGCAGCGTTTCAATCAATTGCGAGGAAGTGCGTTGCGAGAGCGCGATGTCTGGATACGTTGTCAGGAAGCTCCGCGCGAGGGTGCGGTTTTGAATAAACGTGTGAGGAGGTATCAGGCCAGAGCGGTTGTTGTTGTAGTTCGGGGGCAGCGCCGCATTCTGAGGCGCACGACATGATGAAAAGGTGTGAGCCCTGGGAGGAGCTTTTCAATAGGAAAAACACAGACTGGGCACCGCAAAGGGGGGATCAGCAATAATTGTTCTCAGAAGGGAGAATTCAACACCACTTCGACCCATCCGTTGTAACATTGAGGTTTTGAGACTGTTCGCTCTCATCCATCATTCAACAAGTACTTCCCAAACAAACGGTTACCGCCCTCTTCGTTAAGGTTGTAATTGCGAATTGTCTCTACCCCTCCCTTTGATCGGGAACATAGTTTTTCTGTGCGCGCTTATTGGCGGACTATGACCCCAACGATATTGGGAGCATCAGAATGACGGGGTCGAACGGTCATTCAATGTCCTTGGGTGCGTGGCTGGAGTGGGCTTCCGCGGTGCGGATTGTTGTTTTTGTTGGTGGTGGTGGTGGTGTTGTTGTTGCTGCTGCTGTTGTTTGTTGTCGCCCCGTTCGCGACCCGGCCGGCCCGCGACCTACCCGCGACCCACCCGCGACACACCCGCGACCCACGCGCGACCCACTCGCGAACCACCCGCGACCCACCCGCGACCCAACGCGCGACCCGCCCGCGACCCGCCCGCGATCCACTCGCGACCCACCGCGCGACCCACCCGCGACCCACGCGCGACCCACGCGCGACCCACCCGCGACCCACGCGCGGCCCACGCGCGACCCACCCGGGACCCACCCGCGACCCACCTGCGACTCGCCCGCGACCCACCCTCGACTCAGCCCGCGCCCGCCCCCTCACTCTTATCCGCAATTGCGGGGTGCTACACCTTTTTCCCCGCGGTGGTCACCGCTGATGATCGAGGTGGGGAGGATGAGATGATGATGAGGGAGATCCCTGGTGATGACGATGGTGATGATGATGATGATGATGATGATGATGATGATGATGATGATGATGATGATGATGATGATGATGATGATGATAATGCTAATGCTGATGCTGATGCTGATGCTGATGCTGATGCTGATGATGAGGATGAGGATGAGGATGAGGATGAGGATGAGGATGAGGATGAGGATGAGGATGAGGATGAGGATGAGGATGAGGATGAGGATGGTGATGATGGTGATGATGCTGATGCTGATGATCATGATCATGATGATGATGAGGAGGATGCTGATGATGATGAGGAGGAGGAGGATGCTGAAGGAAAGGGCGAGGAGGGGAAGGACGAGCTGAATTACCAGCCGAGAGCTTAGGGGGGGGGGGGGGGGGGGGGGGGGCGTTAGCATGAAAGACCCTCTATTGAAGATGCCTCCAGCGAATCTCCGCCGACGACTGCATTTTAGGATACGCTTACGTGGCCAAGCGTTTAGGAAAAGTTTGGCCACGCTATTCGACCATGCACTCCCCCAGCCGTTGCGGAAGCCCGCGGGGGAACACGCGGGGGAGTACGAGGAGGGTGAGGAGAGGGAGGAGAAAGGAGGACAAAGGAGGATGAGGAGAAGGATGAGGAGACCTCTTCGGATCTTCTGGGGCCATTATTGCAGCCTCCTGGGAGCTTCCTGGGGGCCTGTGGGAGGCTTCTTGGGGGGGGGTGGGGGGCTCGTTGGCTGCCTTGCACGTTTCTGGCTCGTCTGACGCCGTCGGAAGCCATACTTTGGGGGCATCGTGGGGGCCTCTCTGAGCCGTAGTAGAGAGCCCTCCTGGGGCGCTCCAGGGTCGTCTTGAATGCCATCTTGGCCGTCTTGGAAGCCCCTTGGGCCGTCTTGGGCGCTCTGGGGGCCGTCATGGGCCGTCTGAAGGCCTCTTTGACGTACATGCAGAAAAACAAATCATCTATAGCACACCCCATGGGTTTGGCTTCTTCGGGCCTTCCCGGTGCACGCGCACGCATGTCGCCGCGCGTGCGCATGCCGACATCCCCCGCACCCCACGTCTCCCACGGATTTCGAAATCCCGTGCCCCGAACAGATATATCAACCACGTGGTTGTGCAACATGCTTTTTTTTGCCAGAATCATGTTTGCGCGCACGCTCTCTTGCGAATTCGTAAGGCAACCATCTGTTTTCAACCGTATCATCAAGTTCGTTCAAGCGGCCCACTTGCGCGCGCATGCCGAAATCATTCAGACGCCTTTGCGCGCGTACTGGGACGGGGGGGGGCGATCCTTGTCAGAGAATGCCATGCGGGCCACTCGCGCCCGTCGGTCGCGCGCACACGTTGGAATCGTTCCCAAACTGCATCACCGACCCGTGGACACCATTATCGTCATTGGCGTGATCAGCATCGGCGCCGTCCTTGGCCCTGCCGCCGTCATCGTCATCGTCGTCACCAGCATTGCTACTATCATCAGCGTCATTGTCGTCACCAGCATCGCTACTATCGGCATCGTCATTGGCGACGTCGCCATGATATTGCGCCCGCCCGAGTCATCGACTCGCACTGGAGTGCCCGCGCGTCAGCGCGGCCTGCGGGACGCGCGGGAATCCCCAGCAGTCAGCGCCACCACGACCGCGTCGGTCGCGCCAGACAAGCTGGACGCTGTGCGCGCGAGCCTGCTCGCGCTAGCGCGGCCGCAGCAATGCGCCAGCCAGCGCCCAGCAGTCATCGCAATCGCCGCCGCGTGGGTTTTGCAAACCAGTGTGCGGGTAGGTGGGTGTGCCGATTGCGCGAGCAGCGGAATTGGCAACCCCTATGCACCACCTACGGTGCACATCTATTGCACCACCATCCTATGCACCAGCTATGTACATGTACCACATGTATTGCACCAACTACGATGCACCACGTTCGTTGCACCACTTGTACTTCACCGCGTAAGTTACAAGAAGCCATTATTTTGGGGTCCACGGTGGCTATAAAACTTTTCAGCCGTGGGAATTCAACAACAACATAAATCTGTTTAGGACGGTTCGCTCTTGCCCATTCGCGTGCCATTCACCAGGTGTGTCTCAAACCCTCGATGCCCGCCCCCTTCGTCTTGGATCGTGCCCCCCTTGGGGGTATACCCTCCTTACCTGCCACGT